CCATATGGCAACGGCAGACAGTCCCTACCCATCCCTATCATCCCTACACAGCTTTGCAGGAATGCGAACAATCCCGGCCTCGGGGTGGAACTGCACCGAGAACCATGGTCGAGAGGAATGAATGATGCCCTCATTGGTGCCATCGTTGGCATTCATCATGAGTGGCACCCAGTTCTCGGGCAAGCTGGCGTTGTCAACGGCGTATCCGTGATTCTGGGCTGTGATGTAGCACTTTTGTGTGCGCAAGTCGACAACCGGCTGGTTCATACCACGGTTCCCGAACTTCATCTTGTAAGTGGATGCTCCGGCAGCCAAAGCCAGAATCTGGTTCCCGAGGCAGATGCCGAAGATGGGCGTCTTTGGCCTCTCCTTCATAACCGTGCGCACGTGCTCGACGGTCTTGGCGCACATGGTTGGATCCCCTGGCCCATTGCTCAAGAAGAGGCCGTCGAAGGAGTCCTGCGTGAAATCGTAGTCCCACGGGACCACGGTGACTCGGAGCCCGAGCTTGACGAGGCAGCGGATGATGTTGTTCTTCATGCCACAGTCCACCGCCACGACATGCGCATCCCGGCTCAACCGCGGATTTGGCTTCGAAGGGGCAAAGACCTCCTTCTGCTTCCTGGACACCTCTGCTGCCAGGTTTCGCTTGTTTGGGTCGTCCATTGGGACTTGTGAACTCGGGGCGCTCCCCTGCACGATCAGCTTTCCCAACATGGAACCAGTTTTGCGGATCTGCTTGGTAACAAGCCGTGTGTCCACGGCATAGATGCCCGGAACACCTTGAGATTCTAGCCACTGTCCTAGAGATCGGACACAGCTGTAGTGCGATGGCTCGTACGAATAGTCAGAGATCACAACCCCCTTCAAATGAATCTTGTGACTTTCGAACCACTTGGGCAATCCAAACTCGTCCTTCTCATCTGAGGGCACACCATAGTTTCCGACCAGGGGATATGTGATGACCAGGATCTGGCCAGCATAGGACGGATCCGTCAAAGATTCGGGGTAAGCCACCATTCCAGTGTTGAAGACCACCTCCCCAGAGACGGAGACCGGAGCACCGAAGGAGTAGCCCTTGAGCACTGTGCCGTCCACCAACTCCAGGTTGCACTTCCTCCGCGCGTTCAACCACCGGAGGAAGTCGATCGGCTCGCCCGACGTTGGCTTCACGTCCACGGGCTCGACACCCTCGAATCCCACAAAATCCCAGCCCATCTTCTCCGGGCTTTCCGGCCAATCGCACATACAGCGCCTTACAGCGCAGACTACCGTGTACTTGTGAGAGCCAGAATGCTGCAGGGCAGGGGCCTAGGAAGCTCGGAAGCACATCTTGCAACGGACTGCTTGATGTACTAATGTTACGTATATACGCCCACGCAAACATGGCATGGAAGTGTGTTGCAAGGACGTGTGCAAGGCACTGCAAGCATACTGTGCCAAGCGCATGCCCGCAGAATGTGATTCTGCCGGCTTCTGGCGTCCTGCTTGCGGCGCTCCATTTCGCGAATGAACTTCTTCTGCTGAACCTTGGCACGCCTCAGCGCGAACACAAATGCGACAGAAGCTGCAGCTCGCAAACTCTTGACATGATGCCATACCGGGCACATGAGGCTGCTGAAGGAGGTGTATTCTGTCATGTGCAACAGCATCCTTAGTTCAGATGCTCTGGAGCATTGGGAAAGAAGACAGGTGCCAACGCCGTGTATTGAATACTTGGCATTGCTTGCCGACCCAAGCCGACGCGAACGATGTTCACAAGGTTCATAAGAGACCAAGCTTCTCCATCATGTCCTCCACGGTCTGCGGTCTGAACAGCGCCTTCATGAGATCCAGCTCTCCTTGCGTGAGCCAACCCCGCGAACAGGAGCAAAACTTCTTCAAGGCAGGTGTGGCATGCACCCCACCTTGTTCCATCGGCGGGGCGTCCGGGCCCAGCTTCATCCGCCTTTGCTGCTCCATGTGCACCAGGAACGCCTGAAGGTGCGCTGCCCCCAGGTTGAAATTGTAACCTTTGCTTGTGATGCCCGATGGGCTTTCACACATGCCAAACATGTTGGCCTCGACTTGCTTCTCTGCTCGAACCTTCAGGGCCACTAAACTGCCACTAATCACCAGCGCTACCCAGCGAGACCCTGCTCGTCAGATGACCTGCAGTTCATTACCGCCCATAATGGCCTTGTCTTGTTCAATTGCCCGTTGTAGCTCCTGGAGAAAAGTCCCGGAATCGCCCGGGTTGTACCTACACTGGCAACTGGCAGGCACGCACACATCGCCCCAGCACATTGCGAGTGCAGAGTAGTTAGGTAGCGTCAAACTCGATTCATGAGAAATGGCTTGAATTCTGAGTGGATTCCTCGATAAAAAATCCCCATGTTTCACAACGCATGCGCAGGCAAGTCGGGCGTGACAACAGGACATCTTCTCGAAAGCAAAGCCCAAGTTTAATACTGCGCCACAAAGCTGGGGTCCGCCTGGTCCAACGAAGTGAAACAACGCAGCAGCATTCAAGAGCAACGTGTTATTCCAGCTTGCCTTCGTGGGAGCCACAGAGCTTTGCCCCGGTTCGTTTCGCGTCAGCAATCCGAACCTTTTCCCATCTGTGTTTGGCATGTGGTAGATTAAGTAGTTTGACATGCTGAAGTTTGTTGCTCACCTCAAGCTCTGCAGTAGTTTTGCACGAACCACTGCCCTGGGGCAGCAGCCGTGACTAGCATTGGCAATGGATCCCACTTCGGAGATGCCTCTACTACGTTTCAAATGCCAAATTCGGCTAGCGACGAATGCACTTGGTGGCAATACAATCAAGCTCAACACGTGTAGACTGAAGTGCTTCAGCAGCGTACGCAAAGGCACTAGAGTCAAAGAATTTGGCTGTGTCGATGGTCGTGCTTTGCAAACTCCGAAAACCGGCATCAAGGTGCCACATCTTTTCAGCAAGAATGGAGGCAGGAAGCCAGGCAGACATAGCATGTCCTGTGCATACGCATCAAATGGATGTGCCAGGGACACTATCTTGACAACCAGCGCTGAGCCTATGCCGCATGACAGGTGCGGGAGCGGAGCCAGAAACAAGGAAGGTTGTTGGCTTCAAGGACTTTACAGCACGGTGAAGATTGGGCAACGATAACATCATCAGAAATCGACTGGAGGACCTGCACAAACCGCCTGGAGGAGCTGAATCTGATGCTGCGGAAGTTCCAGGCTGTGGCCCCCTCCCACAGAGACCATGCCAAAAAGCACGAAAGGCCAACGTGTGAAATGGGGCTTCTGGGACCCCTCCCGCCAAAGGACCTTCCTGGGCCCCGGGGCCCTGGGGCCTTGCCCTTCTTTTGAGACCCTTCCTTGGACCCCTCCTAGGACCGTTGCGTGTGCTACGCCACGTTGGGCCAGGCCCGGCTGCCGAGGCGGTGTGTGCATGCGTTTACAATTTACATCTTCGCGTTTGAGCACGTGCGGTTCTGGTGCACATGTTGCAGCATGATGCCGGCGTCGGGTTTCAAGAGACGAGGCGGAGGTCAGCACACAAACCCTAGCTTAAAGGAGACTCAACGGACAGGAAGAGAACCCACCAGAAAGACTCCGACTCTCACTGAGACATGTTGAGCGTTTCGCTTGGGCGCAACGTGGGCCAATGCATTTCCTGGCTCCCTTATGTCGAAGGATTTGTTTGGTAAGCTCAGCTTTCTGGTCGCACTCGGGCAACAACAGAAACACGCACAACTTCCCCTCCCCATTGTACATTGACAAAAGTATCCAAGGCTACTCGGCTCTCCAAGGCTACACGGCTCTGCACGGACATACTTGCAGACATACGCTGCTGTGCATTTGTATATATGTATGTATGTACGTGTACATATACATACATACATACATACATACATACATACATACATACATACATACATACATACATACATACATACATACACTCATACATCAACATACTTACACACACAGAGGCAAAGCATTTCTACATGTCTATAGATTTAGGTGTATTTAACGGCACTACTGTACATACAAAGAGAATTTATATATATATATATATACATGTATGTATGTCGGTATGTGTATATGTATACCCTTCCTATACTGCGCGTATGCATATCATAAATTGCTTGGCGCTACAAATATCTGCGTATATACATATACATATATTCAAACTATATTTTTTCACATTCATATTTAAACTGAAGATGATTACAAAGACTCTTGCCATCTCTGTGTGCAGCTTCCGGCACCCTTCTTGCAGAGCAAAGTTCGACGCATGCTCCTCAAGGCTTGCAACATACTCTCGGTATGCCGCGTACCTTCATGCTCAAATCACTTGCTCGGTCAGACTTTCCCGGCAATGCAATGCACTGATGCAAACTCAAACCAGTGAGCTGCTCGCTGCTCGTGTGTTTCACCTTGCTGCAGGAACTCCTTAACATCCTGGTCAAATATGGGCAGGAACCTTGGCATTTCCAGACATGTCCAGCCACATGGCAACATGCACAACGTCTGCAGGCTGAAGGGCTTCTCGAAGAGTGGATCCATGTCCTCGTTGAGTGTTTTCAGTGCCTTGGTGGGGGTGCAACACTCTGATTCGCCACCTCGAATTGAGGCTCAACGGAGCATTGGGCCATTGGGACCCCCGCGAAGGCGCAGAATCGATGAGCAACAGTGTCCTTTACCTCCTGGTACACAAAGATGGGTATGCCCTTAGAATCATGCGGGTAGGCTAACTCAAGCCTTCCAGAGGCCGTCTACATGTTTCTGAAGCTCCTCCATCTCTTCGCCAATGTGTCCAGGCAGTGCAAAGAGCATGGTGTCGCAGGGAGCTACGCGTTCTGATTACTACCGTCATGTTGCGTATGCAATCTGCCAGTTAGCTGTAGCTTTGTCGTGGGGAAATGTTTCCTCATGGTGTGCACGCCTGGATTCCTGCACGGAGCCATCCGATGCCAATGACAACTTCGCATGCAGTAGATGTCAGAAGCACAGGCAAAATTCCTCACCTTCGAGCTCTCGCCCTTATCTCGAAAGACGAGAGCGCGAGCAGTTCGAACCTGGCAAATGAACAAGACGTTAGAGAACCTGTGGCCTACATCGCAGATCAAATCTTGCAGCCTGCGTGTTCGCTGGCTCCAGCATAACCGCCGTGTTGAAATCGTCCAATGCCTGGCACATGTTACATGCAGCTGGGTGCAAATGCACACCACGTGGACTTTGCCAGGGCATGGGCGGCATCACAAGTCGTGTGGGTTCTTTGCAACCCAGCACACTTTTTTGACAGGCTGCGCCCTCTGAAGCATCTTTAGCACATGAGCCACGAAGGTTTTGCCCGGCCCAGCACCATGAACGAAGCACTGCGGAGCATTCGTCACATGATTGTGGAGGGTTCCATTCCGGATGCTCAGCAGTCGCGGAATCATCATTTCCGGTATGTTGCCGACGGTCAGCACCAAGTGCCCAGAGTAGTCCAGGGTCATGAGCTCGGGCCATTGGAACAGCGACTGACCTGAGCTGCTATGCTGGGGGTCGCCGACGCAAAAGTCCAATACGGAGCCAAGTCTTACTGCCCTAACTGCAGCAGACACGGGACTTGCCACCAGCTGGTCCGTCTCGGACTTATTCTTGTAGAGCGTCGCCCAATGGTCTACTGTGGCCTGCCTAGGCTCAGGAGCGAACAGCCGCATCGAGCCACTGACTAGTCGCCGGATTCAGCAACTTCAACTGCAACAAGCTGAGAAGAGCTGCACATGCGAGGCCTGTCCCATCAGAAAGCCGCTGTTCAAGTGCTGATACGCAGGTGGAGATGAACAGAAGGAGTCATATCCTGATTGGGCTGCCAACTCGTCCCATGCTCCGACACCCAGGTGGCAGGTTCAGCATTCGGTGTCCTGGGAGCTCCAGGTCCCGGCAACGCCTGCAATCTCCGTATTTCTCCTTGGGCGCAGCACGAAGATGAAGCTGCGAGCCACGAACACCCGCACGGTCACATGCATGGTGCAGATCCGGCCACATATGACTCTGTCATGTTGAAGGCCCGGAGCAAGGAAGCTCGCTGCTCAGAAAAATTGGTGTACCTCACCCACAGATTGCGCAGAACTCACGTGCCTTCCACAATCGGCCAAGGATCTTGAAATGAGGCAAGCTGCCAGGAACAGGTGTCCCGCCAAGGAAAGCAGCAGTTTTCTGCACCCCATACCACTTTCGCGCGGCTGTTTCCCAAGATCGTGTTGAAAGACGCTAGCAGCCTCAGCTTCGACACTACCTTCTCGATCTTGCGCATGGCACGTGGACTCGTGTCGCACTCATCCGCACTCTGCGTGACATGAAGCCAAAACAAGCGGCTGAACCTCCGAACAGCCTCCGAAGATGGTATCGAAGCCATCAATGAGGATCACCTCTGCGCTTGGGTGGAGTTAAGATGGCCCCCACAAGGCAAATCTCAACAAAATCCCAGCCACCATATCATGAGGACGGTCGGCAACAAACTTCTTCAGAAACTTTTGGTAGAGGCGAGGCTTGTCCCACCAGGAATGCCACTTTTCGCCCGCACCCGCATTGATCACCAACAGATCGCCAGCACCCAACATAACAAAGTCACCTGGCTTGCTTGTGTCGACCTTACTCATTGTACTGTCCTACCAAGTCCAACTCTCCCTCTTCACCCAAGCAAGAACTGCCATCAAGACACGGTGATCATGGTGAAGTTCGCGAGGCTACCAGCACGCGTGTCTCTCTTAAGGGCACGATCCCACTGCCAACTCAAGTACTTCTCAGCGAGCTGATTTGATTCCTGCATGCACGAGGTGGCAGATTAAGAATTGCCAGAAACGAACGCCCACAGCAGTTTCATCCAGCGTCCTCGACCTTCTGCAAGTATGCTCGCAGCTCCTCCTCGCCTCCTTCTATAGGTGTTCCGAAACCGAAGGTGCCACGGTTTACGAACTGGTAGAAGAGAAGCAGGATCGGCAACAGGCATGCAAGCAGCCAAACCAGGACCATGGAGCTTTGCCATCATCTCAGGAATGCAGGACAAGATGCGCGCTTCGGCATGGCAGGCAGTACCAAGGAAGCTGTGGCAACTTCTACACTTGAAAACTCAAGCTGCTTCTAGTCCGTTGCTTCTAGTCCGTGCTTTCACCTCAACATGCCTCAACATGCTCCGGCATCTGTGCATTGCTGTCTCCGCTTCCGCCAACTCGTCGGAATTTTTATGGAACGTGGGCCCTTGAAGACTCTTGGCGATACTGCTAGACCACCCTGAAGCCACCACAACAGCACGACCTCCAGAAGAAGCGCCTCCCAAGGACGACGACGCCGCCCCGAGTCGCCCCCTCTCCCCAAGTCGGCCTCTGCAAGGCGCCCCTGGGCCCGCAAGGCTGAGCCACGGCCCGCCAGCGCCAGGGCCTCATACAGCCACTCAAGGCACCAACTCCCAAGCTTCAGGTGTGCTGTCATCCACTTTTGACATGTTTCATGAGAAAGAAGTGGCATGCTCACCCGGTGCAAGGAAGTGAGCTCCTCACAAAGTGCGGATCCACTGCAAGCGCTGCATTGAAGTCCGCCACGGCCTGAAGAAAGGAAGAAAGGCGCGGCGACAGGTCGCCTGCGTAAACGGCCCGGCCTTTTGTAGGTCGCCCAGCTTCCTGCGCTTCTCGCCCCGGCGCTGCAGGACTGATGCCTCGGAAGATGCAAGAGGTTCAAGAGGACCATGATGAACTTGATGAACTTTACAATCCCTAGCCCTGCCCTCCAGGGCCGGCAGACGAGGCAGACTATCCCCTCTGCCGAGGCACATTGCCCAGGTTGAGCTCGAGCGATGCCGAACATTCCTGTCTCCAAGCTCAACTCGGAATCACTCTCATGGGCAGATCAATGGGGTCGCCTCGATCGACACCAGGAGTTCCTTTCTGCCTCTGCTCCGTGCGACTATTAGACAGGTGTACCGCCGACGACCGGCACAGCTCTTTACCCACAAGCAATTCAAGCCGCAACATCAGACAATGTTCACTTGGGCAGGATACGCTTGGCATCATCCGTGGCCATGCAATAGAAGGGCGCCCCTCTGAGGCTGCTGACTAGGACATGTCACAAACGTGACAGAAAGTCCTTCGTGCTTCATGCAGCAAACAAGTCTTTCTGCTTGGGCAAATCTTGGAACGGTGGGCGGGTGGTTGGCTGGCTGGTCTGCAAGTGAAGAACGCTAGATATTGAATTCTGCTTTGCTGTCGCAGTGGTGTCTCTTGGGTATGCTACTTTGCCCTTGTAAGGAACCACTCCAGGAAATGGCAGGCCCATCATGGAAGAAGTGCATCGGACTCGGACAGCAGCTGGGTTGCCCGTTGTGGCTAGGTGCCTACTGCAATCGAAATCCGTTCAGAACAAATCCAGCCATCTTGTTTCATCAAACGATATCCGCAGTTCGCGAGTTGCGGAGCTGGCCCCCCACACCTGCAGCGGACATATCGACAACGTCGGCAACCATAAGACGAAGCGGTGAAGAGAAACA